GACTTCAACCACCCTGACATCTGTTGGGAAGACAGCACAGCTAGGCACAAACAGTCCAAGAGGTTCCTGCAGAGGATTGATGATAATTTCTTGACTCAGGTGGTGGAGACGCCAACGAGGAGAGGTGCAATGCTAGACCTTGTACTAACGAACAAAGAAGGTCTAGTTGGAGAGGTGAAGGTTGGGGGCAGCCTTGGCTGCAGTGACCATGAGATGGTGGAGTTCAGGATCCTACGAGGAGGGAGCAGGGCAATGAGTAGGATTGCAACGCTGGACTTGAGGAGAGCTGACTTGGGCCTCTTCAGGGACCTACTTAGGGGAATCTCATGGGGTAGGGCCCTAGAGGGAAGAGGGGTCCAAGAGAGCTGGTTAATATTCAAGCATCACCTCCTCCAGGTGAGGAGGGCGGGTGCCCTGGTAACAAAAGATATAGAAAAGGCAAAGTTAGTTAGTTCTCCTGAAGTCCAGGGCTGCTAGCCTACTCATTGCCCTGCTCCCTCCTCGTAGGATCCTGAACTCCACCATCTCACGGTCACTGCAGCCAAGGCTGCCCCCAACCTTCACCTCTCCAACTAGACCTTCTTTGTTTGTTAGTACAAGGTCTAGCATTGCCCCTCTCCTTGTTGGCATCTCCAGCACCTGGGTCAAGAAATTATCATCAATCCTCTGCAGGAACCTCTTTGACGGTTTGTGCCTAGCTGTGCTGTCTTCCCAGCAGATGTCAGGGTGGTTGAAGTCCCCCATGAGAACCAGGGCCTGTGATTGTGAGGCTACTTCCAGCTGTCGGTAGAAGGCCTCATCGATGACTTCTTCCTGATCAGGTGGCCTGCAGCCACCCACAACAGTGTCACCCAGGTTAGCTTGCCCCTTAATCCTTACCCTTAAGCTCTCAGTCAGCCTATTGTCCACCCCTAGGCAGAGCTCCATACATTCCAGCCACTCTCTCACATAAAGAGTAACTCCACCCTTGGCCTTCCTGGCCTTTCTTTCCTAAAAAGCACCTATCCATCCAGGAGAGCCTGCCAGTCATTACGGAGTCCCACATCTCCGTCATTGCAATGAGATCATGGCCCTGTGACCGCACACAGATCTCTAATTCTTCCTCTTTATTCCCTATGCTGCATGCATTTGTGAATAGGCACTTCAGAGAGACATCCAAACATGCTGATTTCCCAGGAGGGGTGCAAGAGGTTTCCCCATCATCGTGTCTTGTAGACATTTCCTTGCCTGTATGCAAATACTTGAGGTACCCCCCCGCCTTGAGTCCTGTTTTGTTGATTAGATGGTCCCTAGAACTCTCCCCTTGGTCTTTCCTAGTCTAAAACCCTCCTTACCAGGTTGGCCAGCAACCAACAGGCCAACAAGCAAAGATACTTGTGTCCTGCTTAGCGAGGTGGAGCCCAGCTCTCCCAAGCAGATGTCACTCTTCAAACAGCATCCCGTGATCATAGAAACCAAAATTCTATTGCAAACACCAGTGGCACAGCCAAATGTTGACTCACAGCGTCCATCTGGATTACTCCACAGGAGTAATCCTCCTCCCATCCTTCCCGCTCACTGGCAGGATCAAGGAAAAAAAAAACCTGGGCCCCCATACCCCTGGTTACTGCCCCCAGAGCTTTGTAGTCACTTTTGATACATTCCAAGTTGCCCTTAGCAATATCATGGGTGCCCACATGGAAGAGTAGCAGGGGGTAAGAGTCAGAAGGGTGGGCAAGCTTTGGCAGTCTCTCCATGACATCCTGGATCCAAGCCCCCAGCAAGCAGGTAACCTCTCTAGACACTGGGTCAGGTTGGCAGATGGCTGCCTCTGTCCCCTGCAGCAGGGAGTCACCCACTACTGTAATTCGCCACTCCCTCTGGGTATCTCTGCATAGCACAGGGTCCCTTGGCCCAGTTGCTTCACTTGAAATCATGACCACCTCCTCCTCTACTTCAAGGGCAGTGAACCCATTCATCAGCCGCAAGCCTTCAGAAGGAGCAGGAGCTTTCCTCCTTGTATGAGGGGACACCAGCTTCCAGCCCTTTGCCTTGTTTGGAGTTATCACTCACTGCCCCACAAGGTACAGACCTCACCTGCATCTCCACTGCAGTTGAGGGGTGGGGCTCTTGAAGCTGTAGGGTCTCTGAGAATACCCCATCTATCCCCATGCTCATCCTCCCCAGTGCTCCTCCTCTCGGATGCTGTTCAGCCTGCTGGCTTCCTCCTGTAACCCCTTTACTTGGCAACACAACTCATCCACAAGAGCACACCTTCTACACAAAGCTAATTTCTGCCCCAGCCTCACAGAGAGGCCCTAGACACTCCCTGCAGCATAAGACTTGAAGAGCTGCATTCTCTGTCAGAAGGCATGTCTGGGTGGAAACCTCCGACGTGGCAGACACAGTGACTTCAATAGCTACTGGGGAATGTACCCTGTGGAGGGTTACAACCATATCTGAAGAGATGTATGCTACTATGAATGGAGACGAGGCCCCCTTCTTTGCACCCTTCTGCATGAACTGCTGCACAAACTGCTGTGTCTGGCTGCCTGTTAGCTGTGCTCAGCTATAATACAGCAATGCATTAAGAAGTATTTTTCCCAAACATGTTTAAAAACTGTATTTTTTATTAGGCAATTAAAAAGCTAAAATATAAAACTCCTTAAAACATTCCTACAATTATTCTAAAAAAGCCTGGTCTGCTCTGAAAGAACTGTATTCTTGCTAAAGCAGCAACACAACAAAAAGTGAAGCACAATTCCTGTTACTTCAGCACTACCAGTCTTGGGTAGCAAGACTTGGTTCTTTCTGTCTTATACTGGGGAGCCCAGAATGGAGCCTCCACTCCAGATGGAGCCTCATCAGTGCTGAGTGGAGGGGAAGGATCACCTCCCTCAACCTGCTAGAAATGCTCTTCCTAATGCAGCCCTGCATACCTTTGGCCTTCTTTGCCATGAGGGAGCATTGCTGACCCATGTTCAACCTCTTGTCCACCGGGACCTCCAAGGCCTTCTCCTCAAAGCTGCTTTTCAGCAGCCCCCAGTTTGTAGTGGTACACAGATTATTCCTCCCCAAGGGGCAGGACTTGGCATTACCCTTTGGGGAACTTCATGAGATTCCTCCATGCCCAGTTCTCCAGCCTGCTGAAGTCCCTCTGAATGGCAGCACAACCATTTGGTGCATCAGCTACTCCTCCCACTTTTGTATCTCCTGCAAATTTGCTGAGAGTGCACGCAATTCCATCATCCATCCAGGCCATTAATGATAATGTTAAAAAGTACTGGACCCAGTATCAACCCCTAGGAGAC